ACCGGCCCTGGCGCCGTCCCGCTTCCTGCGTGGAGCTTGGCCCCATCGCAGCTGCAGCGGGGACACGCAGCCTGGCTGCAGGACACGCGCCCCTCCGTGCCCCCCTCGGCCGCTTCCCATGGCAAATAGTTTCTCAGGACCCGGAGGCGAACGAGGAGATAGTCTCCAGGCCAGTGGTTCTGATAAGCTGAAAAAATGTATAAATAAATTAGCCGTGATGAATGGTAAGAAATTGTCACTTCTCCTGCTTGCCAGGGAGTTTGGGAAGTTTGCTGAAACGTCAGTCCCAGTCTCGCTGCCGGGGGGCCGGGATGCAGAGAACGGATGCTGTGAGAGGGGATGTTTCTGAAACATATTTTCAGATTGTAGTAAAAAAAAGTGTGATTTATTTTCTTTTGCTGCAGCCTGCTCCCAATTTTCAGTTTATATTAATAACTATGGGAACAGCAGTTCCTGCTGCCATATACTTTAGCTATTAACACCATGTCTGGCTTGGCAGTACATCTCTCTTGTTTTTTTTTTTTTTTTTGTTTTTTTTTTTAATTCCCTTGCATTCATAAAATAAGTATCAACCTTCCTTTTTAATCTCCCTTGGCAGGTCCAGCCAGTTAATTTATGCCTTTCATTCCTTCAAAATTGTTTTTTTTCTAACATCATACATTTATAAGAAGAGAAGAAAAAAAAACCCTATTAAAATTCCCTGTATTTTTGGAATGGGGGGGGGGGAATGTGATTGAATTCATATTAAATGGAGTTATTTCTCCAGGAGCCCCTGAGAGGTGTCTCCCCCGGTCGCCGGTGTCAGTGCAGGTTTAACCGCTGCAGTGCTGGGTTCTGCAAGGAGAAGGTCCTTCCCCCGGCTCCCAACCTCCATCCTGACCGTGTAAAGGATGTCTGTGATTTATGTGCAGATAAACAGCTTTGGATCACATCCAATGACTTCATCAGCTTTAATTCGGCTGCCTAATCAGTAGCAAACAGGAGGGTGGATTTTTTTTTTTTTTGGCTTTGTTTTGTTCTTAATAGTTTTTTAGTTTTTTTTTTTTTTAATGCAGGCCTTGGCATGGGCCCTGGAATGGTGCTGCCCGCTTCCCATCACGTTGGTGTCAGAGTGGGGTTTGCGCGGAGGGCTGCAGTGCCAGGACAGCTCTTGTAGCCAGGAAACCGTGCGGCTATGTATGCGGCTGGAAAGGCAGCCGCCCTCAGCCCCTGAGCTCACACTCGGCACAGGACGGCCCTCCGGTCCCGGGGAAACGGGGAAACGCTCCTAGAGGAGCAGACTTGGTCTGTGTCTGTAAAAGAGCAATAGTCTGCGCTTGTCTTTGCAGCTGGGACCTCTGTGAGAGAGCTGCTCCCAGCAGCCAGGCAGGAGCACCTCTCACCTCAATACATTGCTCTGTGCCTATACATGCTATGGCTCCAGCCTGTATATGCGCAGTGCCGTAAAGACCGGGGTGATCCATATTCCCCAGGCTGAGGTGCTGCGCACTTGAGGTTCAGGTCCCGAGACCTGACCTCATTTTTATTCGCCATAACCCGAGCGCAGACCTATTAATGTGAAAACATCAAGCCATTTACATTATTATCTGTAGGTGCCGTGTGGCCAGAGGTGAAGTGCTCTCTGATTTATAAGCAGAGCCTGCAGGATTACAAAGAATAACCCCGGGAGCTCATCGGATGGCGGGCACGCAGCCGCAACTCCGATAGTGCGGCTTCCCAAGGAGCTCGGCCTGGGAGCAGCGGATGGCGGCTCTTCCTCTCCCAACCTTCCAGCCATCCTGGCTGCCGTTCATTTCAGTGCCTACCTGCATCTGGCCACTTCCCTCTTTTTGAGAGGAGGCAGGAAATCTTCATAGCTGTTCATCTGTAGCCCTTGACACCGAAGAAAGGGGCGAGTTTGGGAAGCCCTGCTAGGCTAGGAAGCCACCAGTGGACCCCTGAGGACATGGGTTAATTTGGAAGGATAAAACGCTGATATCACTGCTGTATCTTAGACGGTTTATGTCATAACCCAGATATGGCACAAAACAGCCTTTTTTTTCCCTATTTCACGCTAAACGCCCACAGGTCCATGTTTCGCTGCTACCAAGGCTGTAAGGAAAACCCAGGCAGAGCTGCTAAGCTCAAAGCGTTTGGCTCGGCCAGGATTCCTTGCACACGCCCTTAGCTGTAGGGGCTTTAAATAGAGCTTTGAATCATCCTGAGATTTGGGGAATTGGGCTGGGCGGGCGGGAAGGGCAGCAGCCGGGTTGGATGGGAGCGCGGTGCGGATGTGCGTGGCCCGGGAGCCGTGGCTGAGGTGCGTGATCCATGTGCGGTGCCACCCTTGCATTTCGTTGCGCAAAAGGGCAACAGCAGCTCCCCGCCAGAGACGGGATGGAGAGCGGGTACTAGCCCTTATTAAGGAAGGGTCCTGCAGATCCTGCGGGGCTTCTGGCCTGGCCCCCCTGCCCTATGGCACTGCCTGGGCCGTGGGGCTGCGTTTGCGCTTTCCATTTTAGACGTCCCCGCTTTGATCCGAAGTGTGTTGGCTAAGGCAGCGTGTCTGTCACCAGCATGGGTCCGCAGGGGCGTGTGGAGGGGGCAGCTTCGTCCTCATGTTGTGCCATCCCGCTGCTTTTTCCATGGCTGGCAGCACAATGGAGGGACGAGCAGGATCGGGATTTCCTGACCTTGATTGCACACAGTCTATAGGTCTGGTTCTTTTACCCTGAACATGAGGTGTGAACACCCCATTCCAGTTAAAATTCATGTGAAATGAGCATCTAGAGTCCTGACAAATGAAGACAACCCCAGCTGTCTGTCTTTTTATGGAGAGAGAGGAACAGTTTCTTGCTGTAACCTGAGAGGGAATTCAAACATCTGAGAAGTAATTTGAGGGGAACATCCAGTTTCTTGCAGATCGAAGGGTGGATTTAGGGAATCCTGTATTCTGTGGCCAGAAGGGAGCTGTTATGTTTAAGAATCTGGCAGTTTGCACACCAAAAGTGTCGATCAAGCCCAAGAGTTTCCGCTGCCCAAAGGCTTGTTTTTCAGATGGGTTCATCAATCCTGACCCGGAGATTTGGGCTAGCAGATGTATTTTATGTTCTTACAACCTGGTCTGTTGGGCTCTGAGCTAACACTTGGGGTATCACTGAAAAAGTATTTCCAGTGTTGTCATTTTTAGAGGAACTGGTCATAAAGCCTCAGCGCGTGAGCGAGGTGATCTGTCACCTCCAGGGTCCCTCAGGTTTGCTGTAGTTGGCATTCGGCCCTGGCAGCTACGGAAATTTTTACATCTTCATCCCTCTGCTACAGTTTCTTCCTCAGGGGAAGACTGATAGGAACGGGAAGGAGCTGTAAGGGTGTGTGTGCGAGTGCTGCAGGCTTAAAATGCTGCGAGAAGGGAGTGTGGGAGCGTCTCTGGATTATGGAAATGTGATGAATGAGGCTTCGGGTACAAAACAATCGCTTCAGTCCTCCCAGCCGCCGGGGCGGCTGCTGCCTGCGCTCTGCTCCCTCTCAGAGCTTGCTACAGTTATTGTGACTTTCCTCTTTTTGGGGAGGAAAAGCCCTATTCCGAAGCCCACGCTCAGGGAAGAGCTGCCAGGGCTGAGCAGGGAGCCCTGTGACTGGGGCCTGTTCCCCTGGCCCTGCGAGGGGCAGCGCGGAGGCCTCTGGCCTCAGAGAGGCTTGGGACAGATCACATAGGAGTTTCCCTGGAAAGAAAGAAATGTCTTTTTTTGTGCTTCCCTCCCTTGCCTGCAGTGCAGGGACTAGAGCTTGTGCTGCCCCTCAGGAGCGCGGCGGGATGAAGCCAGCCGGCTGCTGAACGCGCAGACGTTGCTCGACGGGAAGCCGTGTAAATACCTGGATAGATGATTTCAGCGAGACCGTCTGTCGAGCAAGTAGGCAGCAGGGTCAGGCTCTCTCACAGGGAATCATTTCTTACTGGCTGACTGGAAACTGTGCTCAGCAGCCTCTGTGCAGCAGCATCCTCTGGTTTTGCTGTCTCTGTGTTTTCCCTGCCTGCGCGTTTAGCGCCTTGATCTTCAGCCTGCGAGTTGCAGGGGGCCTGTCGAGTGCCTGTACAGTGCTGCACACCAAGGGCTCAGGCAGGGCCCATGGTAAAGAAGAGTCTGGTAGAAAGTAACCTGGAGTTTACCATCAGTGATCACAGCTTTTGCCTTGCTTACTTTCATCAGGTTGTGCTGGAAGCAGGGGCTTGGGGTCAGACACGTGTGTGAAAGCAGCCTTTGAGGTGTGTGCTTCTTGAGCAGCTTGTTGTTCATGTGGAGCTTGGCTTTGTCATCAGTGGCCTCAGTCTTTTGAAGAGTGGGGATAGGGGCTCATAGCCCTCCCAGGCTTGCTCTGAGACCTGGGCAAGTTGTGTAGGCTTCCTTGAGGCCTCCTCGTTTGGCTGCAGCTCCTGTATTGATTTGGGGAGTTTAGGTGAGTCTTGGCAAGCCTGTATCTCCTTGACTGCTCTTGTAAGTAGTTCTGTAGACAGATGGAGGCCTCAGTGACCTCCCGCTGTGGTGACCGACTGGACAAGGAGATAGATGATGGTCATGGCTCCATGTTCACAGCCTGCTTTCTCATAGGTGTCGATCTTTTCCTAGGACAAGAGTAATTCCTTGTCTCTCCTGAGAGGATGAAGCATTCAGGGTTGTGAAAAGTTCAGACAAGGTTCCTCGATATCGAAGATAGATCGAGTGTGTTAAAATATTTATTGCTGCTACCAATATTTGCTACTAGTGAATCTATTGGCTAGGATTTTTGCAGAAAGAAAGTATGAAGAAAAATGGTTTCAGTTGAAGCAATTTTTGAAGCAAAGTTCAGATGAGCATTAAAGAAAAAAAATTACAGTGATCTATGGTTAAAGTTGAACTTTTATGTTCTTTAAAATTTATTTCCCTAATAATCTCAAAATTTGACATTAAATTCTCTTCCTTGTGAGATGAGAAGATATAGTTAGAAGTATCACTTAAGACTTTTTTTTTCTGGTGTTTCCACAGATTACTAAGGATTTTCCCCGGAGCAGGACTTTGAAGATGACAATTCAGTAATGCAGAGGCTGTAAGTATATAACATTATGATTGCAACTCTTTTTTAAGAGCTCTATCTACATTCTTTGAACTCATGTTTGCTAGATTCTACTTTGCAAAGAGCTTATGAGGAAGAGGCTGGAAGATGAGATGGTTCTAAAATGGATAGTGCTACTTTAGACACTGCTTTATCTGTTTCATGTTGCCTTATTTACTCCTATAAAATATACTTGTACTTGTGTACTCCTATAAAAGCTTGTTCAGTCGGCAGGAGGAAAGCCCAAGACATCTGTCAGTATTGCTGGAAATGCCACAAGTAGACAAAAATAAAAATACCTCATTAGTACAGATGAGAAGTGCATAAAATGCAATGATACATTACCAAAAGCTGGCATGGCCTAGGTTCCCAGGCACAGAACAAAGGCCAAAAACCATATGTTGCTTTGTGATACCGCTAATTAAAAAACCTACTTTAAACTGAATGAATGAAATAAGTGAGGGCTTGCTAGGTTGATCGTGTGTTAGCCTTTGGTCACTTGGCGTCAGAGTTGGAGGTCTGAGGAATCTTACAGCATCTCAAATAGATGAGGTTTTGCACAATTGCAAGCTGAAGATGCTTGAAAAAGAAACAATTTCCTTTTTCTCCCCAGCTGTTCCCATCCTTTTTGTAGGTGAATTAGTGAGCTGTTAATTTTTGTAGCTCTTTTCTGAATTCTCCATTGTTTCTCCTAATCAGTTCTCTCAGATCTGTTCAATCTCCATTTAATTCAGTCAGCTACTCAACATCCAAACCATTTGTAATAAGAAGAGTGCTATTTTTTCCTTTTATTTTAATTGTAGTTGATGGCTTTCGGCAGGTGTTATCATATAACTCAATCACCAGCCATCGGAATTTGTAATTTAATCAATAAAGGAGGCCAGTTTTCTCGAGGAGATCAGAAGAGAAAGAGCTCAAGGAAAATGCACAGCAAAGAGAGTGTGAAGAACTAAAAAGGGTGATAGGCACTGCAGTTCTGCACACAGTAGCTGCAGCCTGGTGGCTGTATCTGCCTGGCAAGCAGTGAGTGAAGGAAATAGCTATTTATTTACCTATAATATTCCAGAATGCTGTTCTAGAATAAAGGCATGCAATCATACCCCCTTCTTGGAAAATGGAGGGGGGAAGCTTTGCTCAAGTTGCTCTGACAAGGACCTTGCTCTGACAAGGACAAGTCTGCTTGGGTGGGTGGCTTTAGCAAGCCCTGTGTGTTCCCATGCGTTGTTTGGGAGGGACACCATGGGATGACACTCTGTTATGGCTGCTCCTCCAGCCTTTCTGCTCACATCCTCACATGTTGTTGCTGCTGCTTTTAGATAAGGGCAGGGGAGGGGTAGCTGTGGTGTCAAGTCACTCCTTCAGAGGTCCTCCCTGAGGGCCCTTGAAGCACAGTCATCTCCTTGGCCTTGGTGGCCATGGCTCCCTGGGCTGACAGGGCCTGGCACAGACTGTTGGTCCTAACAGGAAGGCTGGGAAGGGCCAAGAGCTGGTGCGTGAGGTCTTGGATGCTCCTTGAGAGTTGTGAGAGCTCAAGGGTTTCATGCCATGGTCTATCTGGGAATAGACCACGCAGAACCACAGTAGAACAGGCCATGGGGAAGGGCCTGTGCTGGTCACGGCTGGGAAGCCTTCCTAGCTGCAGGGGACACCGCCTGAGCGGTCCCAAATGGTAGGTCTCGGAAGAGTCACCCCCGGTTTGGATGATAAAACACTGCTAGGTGTTATGATCATGATTTGGCAAGGACCAGAGAACTGAAGATGAAAGGTATCAACATTATTCAGCCAGAAAAATGCTAACATTTGAAATTACAATGAATTAGTTGGTCTTTAAAGGACATGAAGATGCTGATTTGTTTATATGCGTCCCAAAGGCCCATTGCCAGCTCTGTAACCATGTTATCTGCAAGTGAAATGTTGAGCCAGCCATAGAAAAAGGCATCTTGGTAGTGTTTTTTTTTAATTAAATAAGGTGTGTCAGTACAGAAAAGCATAAAAACACAAATTTTGGGAGAATTTTTAAAACTCGGTGTGTGGTATTTGTCTTGATGATATTAGTTCTTCCCCTGAGTGCTCCTGTAGATTGAATGTACAGCTAGCTAGAGAGTCTTAAGGTGTTCGTTTTTGACTTGTGTCGTCAAACTTTTCTTGTGGAAAGCACAGGTCTTTTTAAGAGAATAAGATATTGAGCTGAAGCAGAAGCTGCCACTTATTTGCAGTAAGAGATTTACATGATGATTTATTAAGTGCTTAACATCATGGATTGGAAAATGTCTGGACAACTGTTGTAGTGAAATGGCTTCATTCTCCTTGCAGCAGCCCTGCTGAGTTCAAGTCCTACACCTGTTCTGCACAGCTCTACCAGAAAGGCAAGTTTTGGCTGAGAAATACATGAAATGTGCCAGACAGCTACAAAATCTTCTAAGATTTTGCAACTGGCCAACTTGGGACAAATCATTCCCTCTGGAAAATATCATAAAGGCCTTTTCTTGACTAGCATGAGCAATACTGTAAGTGCTATTGCTACGTTTTGTTCTTTTGAGGAATGTATGTGTAGGGATCACCAAAACTGCGCCATGTGATTGCTTGTGATTCCTGCTTCCTTCTGGTGCACCCCAAAGTAACGTCATCAAAGTGAGGGCAGTTCTGCCTGCACTCCTTGGCCAAAGACGAGAGCAGGATTTCTCCTGCTGAGCAGCTTAGTCTGCTGTATTTGAAGGCTCACTTTTGGAGCCACCAGCCTTGGGCTGCTCAGAGCAATCAGTGCCTCGCCTGGCCACGAAGCCTGGGGGAGCCAACTGCAGGAATGCAAAGCTTCTGGGAGGAGATGAGGTTGAAAGTGTTTCTCTGGGCTGAAGGTGATTCTCGGGGCTCAGCGCCCCCGAGTAACGGCGTACGCAAGGACTGGACTCTCTGTCCTTCCTCAGCAATGACTTTATCCACCTCAAAAAGGTGAGAATAGGTCTTTGAAGAAAATAGGTGCTACAGTCCTACAAGTAAATAATATCTCTTTTAAATCCCCTCTTCAGAGCAGAATATTTGGTGTGGAGACGGGAGTCATGCATGTGTATATTATTATCAAAAAATGTATATATATGTGTTTATTCATTCCCCCCCTCATTTCTCTTGCTTTTTATACTGCTAAAACATTCAGAAACACTTGGCTCAGCTTCCCTGCCCAGCTCCCAGCACCAGGCGCCCCGTTTGGAGGATGCCCCTCAGATGGGGGGTTTGGAAGCAGAGCACCTTGCAGCTCCTCTTAGCTCACATCGCAGGGGACGGGCGCTTGGCTTCCTCTGCCATTGAATTCAACGGGCTGCCGAAGGGCTGGGTGTCCTTGGGCTATGAGGGATTTTTGTTCTCCCGCTCATTGTGAAGTAGCATCATTAACACAGGCAAATTACCCTGCTTGGCCGTGTCCGTGGCACGTTAGAGCCCTTTCCCACTGCTAAGGCTGGCGCTTTTCTTCTGCAAAATGAGGGGCCCATTGGCAGGTCTTTGGCGAGTCAGACAGAGGGGCTCTTTAATGAGGACCAGAGGGGTCTAATAAGGGGGAAGGAATTGGATGTGACAAGTGCAGGGAGAGATAGCAGAGCACTCCCGTACAAATCACTGCGCAATTGGGCCAAAATATTTATCAGCTTTCCTGGGGTCAGGGAAAACGGGGGCTGCAGTTTTGGGGCAAAGGAGTTAATATGATGTTTCCAAAGTGCATTTGAGAGAAGCCCAGCATTGTATTGTGTTTCCCGCTGCTTAGCAAGCACTGTGCTTTTGGGCTAATAGAAACTGGTTTGCGTTGCTTAATTTTCTTCTTTGAAAAACCATATTGGCTTTTGGTGCAGGACTTGGCATTATGCTTGAATATGCCTGGCTTTTACAAATGGGTTTTTAGTTTAATAAGATGAAACCAATTAAGCAGAAAAGTCACTGCCAATGGATTTTACAAGTGCATAAAAATATATTGCTTTCTCTTCAAACATTTCATCACCCTTTCAAATGCTCCCTTTGCTTTCCCTGGCTACTAGTGGGATTTAACTTGTCCCCTTAGGATGTGAAAAAAGGAAAATGCCCATTGGTCTGTGGCTGCTCAGGTGTGTGTAGCGGGGAGGCTGCCTGTGTCTCTTCCCGCTCAGGAAGGGGCAGGGATTAAAGTGTCCTTTGGGCACTGCTGGTTTTGCATCCTTGCTTCCCTCTCATGTCTTAAATATAAGTGCAGGCAGTTCAGCACCAGTCTGACGTTGTTATTAATGCTATGTCGTCTGAATATCTGTTTTTTTCCTACGTATCTGCGGCTAGAGTTGGAGGAAATCCATGAGGTGGATGGGTTCAGTGGAGGTACCTCTTTTGATGGGGTGTGAACAGTTGCTCTGGATCCTCCTCAACTTGTGAAAATGCCCCCGGCAGCCACAGCCGGCTGGGAAGGATCCTGCCCTTTCTAAGAGCTCCTTCCACGAGCTGCTGTGGCCGCAGCATCTGTTGCTCTTTTGGCCCTTGTTGAAATTTTAGCCTGTCCATCATGACCCTGTTGCTTCATTTAACCCCCACTTAAAAAAAAAAAAAAGGCATTTACTCCAAAGAGCTGCATTGTGGCATCCAGTTTTGTCCTGGTTTGTTTTAAGGCTTCCCAGGAATCCCAGGCTACTTCGCGCAAACTGTTAACTTGAGGGTACTAATTTTGTCTGGGTTTTGTCACAGAAATTCAATTAAGGGGGATTATGAACACAGTTGTAGGCCTGTTTCATTTACAGTTGCAAATGAAACGCAGGCCACACACTGTTCGTTTACAGGCAGGCGGGGCGGCTCCGAGGGGCGGCTCCGAGGGGCTGCAGTCAGAGCTACCTGCGAGGCGCTTTGTGAGCCAAGGGGGATGGAGAGGTGGGAGGGAAGAGCCACCCGCTCCCCGCTCCCCTGTGCACGTAATAAACTCCACAGGGAATTCCTTCCTCCGTAGAAAACACATCCCGAGAGATAAGAGCGAGTCCTCCTTTATTTATGTT